AAAATGAATCGTTTTTCACGAAAAAGAAAAGAGGGAAATAGATAAATGATACCTTGCAGCCAAGGGAGTAGAAATTGAAGGAATCGAGGAGGCTACGCTCACAGACTCGGCAAGTATTTTCAGTTAATATAATACCAGAAAACATTATGCAAAAATAGTTTTGTGAAATGTGAAATACGAGCAGATCTCTTTGATGCGACTACTGGCTAAAATTGCCTTTCCCCAAGCTATGCGAGTGCTGTAATTCAATGGTTTACTGGGAAGATTTGAGCAGGTAAGCTTCTGCATAAGGAGGCGGCGGTGTGGGAGGATGGAGAGAAATGGAGGAAGCGGCGTTGTGGAAAGAGGTGAGAGAGTGGAAAGAAATGGATAGATTTAAGGTTTGGATGAATTAAAATGATAAAAACCTAAAAAGTGGAAAAACAAAGTGAAAATCTGATTTTTTAAAACGTGAAACTAAAGACCTCTATGGTAATTTTCCCGAGGGCAAATCCGCTCCAATCATGTCTAGTACACCTTTGTCTTTGTGGCTTTGGGTAATGACGACTTTGACAACTTTAGTTAAAACTGGATAGTAGTTGAAAAAACTAACAGCAGAGAATAGGCGCCGCGGCACCTGCAAATGTCCATCGTAGGATGTACGCATTTCTATGCCCATCAACTTTTTTTTGACACAGTACATACATACAAATATAGACTGAAGCAAAAAACACAGAACAAGGGAAATGAGCGGAGTTAGGGGGATTGTATTGAATTCATCAATCCTTTTCGCAACTGATGACGATGAAAATGAAGATACCACCCTTCGACCGGGCGCTGATTATCTGCTTCAAAAGTTACGCTACTCCAAAATCCTCACTGTAAAATCCTTTGACCCATCAATTCTCTTCATCTGCATTTAATGAAGTTTCAAATTTTTGTTTGATTTCTTACAAGTTGGTTTAATGTGAAGCGCGTAAGATAAATGGGTTTGCCATTTTTGAAAATGTTTTGTACAAACCATCAAATTGTATTTACTTGAAGTATCCAAATTATCTGATTTCAGATGTTTAGGTTTCGCTTTTCTTGAATGTTTTTGGTTAACAAATGTGTTTTGATGCTTTAAGGCTAGAGATTAACAAAATAATGGGATTGAAATTCGAATTTCTATTTCCATGGTTTGTACTCGAGCTTTCCGTTAATTTGCTAAAGCGTCTTGCTGCTAAACTAATTGCTGGGAAGTAACCATTCGGCTTGGTGTTTGGAGTGTTGGCATCAGGATGGGAATTAGATAAACTTACCTTCAATTTTGAATTGAATTTTCTTGAATTATGCTCCGAGATTTATTCATTTTGCTTGGAAATTCTCACTTATAATCTTTTGGAGACCTTTGAGGTGAACTAGCTCACTGTCTTTTCTTATAGTTCACAGCAACGCCCTTCTAGGAAACGGGCAACAGTTGTGAGCAGCTTGTCTGCCTTTGTTATTTTCTCCATGAGTAATGGCCAAAGGTTCCAATGGTTTATTTTGTGGGTTGTGATCCTGTACATCGCCAACATGAAAGTTAATGCAATTAAAACAGGAAGTCTTTGAAAGTACGGCAAATTTCTCTGCTTTCTACTGTTACTTTTCTCTTGCAAAAGAGCGTTATACTAGGAAAATAAAAAGATCTTAGCAGGAAAAATATTTTAGATTTGAGTTTTGTAATTAAGCAAAAATGAAGTTAGTCGACTGAAATGAATTGAATGTATTTTTGCTGGGCCATAGGTAATTGTCCATTTCTTAAATTAAAAAAAGGATAATTAGTTTCCAAATGCTGCATCAATTTTGGCATGACAAGATGAGGACACAGTACAAACTAGATGCATCATTTGTGACATGCAAGCAGTATCTAGGTTACACATACTGACACACACTTAATATTAACATGTTTTGTAATCTTTCTTTGCCATTTTTATCTAATTTATATTTCTGTGCCCATGTCATCTATAAATATTTGCAGGGTCTATCTTACGGACAAGGTCTTTCAGCTCCTAAGGTGAGTTTTTCTTATGCTGCTGGCTTATCACATACTGCCCCGAAGGAGAGAATTTTATCCAAGTTATATAACCTTATTCAATATCCAAACTAATTTGCTCAGCGAGCAAAAAAGTGATTCTATTTCATAGGTAGATAGGTCACATATTTTAGCGGTGAAATGAATGGATCTGTAACTTTCATCTGCTAGTAAAATAATTTCTTGTTATTATTGAGTTTTCTATGTGATGACTTTCTCTGACTATGAGTTTACAATACTGGCTGCAACGGTAGTTCCAGATCTCCATGGATGTAATATATTTATCTTCATCGACCTAAACTCCAACTTGTAGCAATTTCGCTTGACCTCTTGACTGCCTTGTCTAGCTAGCCAATTAAGTGGTTTGAATCAAACCTTGTCACTGTGCAAGACCATTTCCCTGGATGCACCCCTTATTTTCTAATATTCTTGTTTTCAAATATCCAGAAAGTTATAGCTGGCCATAAGTCAAAACAGTTCTGATAACATTAAAATTGAAGTAGATGACAATTTTCCATTGATGCTTGTTTCCATTTCTGGTGTACTGGGTGAATTAATTGTAGTCTTGATGCCATCATTCTTGTTCTTCCCGTTGAGAACTATGCTCTGATGACCTATAATATAATATGAACTATGTGATTCCTAACAAATGTTTCTGCTTTTTCTAGGCTAATCTTCTTCAAGAGTTAGCAAGAATATACTCATATGATTGTTTTATCTTGAGCTCGTCATCAGAAGATTATGGTATGAGTGAGGCCACACAACTTTGGGGTAAAGACGAAGGAAGTTTTATGCATGTAATTTCCAGTTGCTCTGATGATCTCGTTCATAATATGGTCATTTCCGGCTGGTTGATCGTTATGCTTGGTGAGTTTTACAACTCCCTCGCTCATTAAGAAAAAAATGGAGAGAAGGAAAGTTAATGTGATTCTTATTAGGTACTTTTTGCTTGTAAAAGATGGCTAAACACCTTCTGGTGTGTTGATTTTTACTTCTGGTACTTTGATATTGCCAAAATTGAAGTCAAAGTACTATCAATCTTGAGTAAAATGCATAAACTGAGACACTGTTACAGGTCTTTCCTCAGGAATTATTGATGAGAACTCTATTCATTGACCAGAACCATTCTACATTTCGAATGACCGTTTTCTGTTCTTCATATGTATGCTTGCCAACCATCTAATGCTTTCAATTTTTCTGTTTGTAGGATCTCATTTGCAAAATCCAACCATTGGTGCGAATTACTACCTTTAAAACTAATGATAACTGATAAGTCTTGTAAATCTCATAATATCCGCTTTTGTTAAGTTATTGAGATTATCTTTCTCCTCGTGTATGCTATTCTTTGTCACATTAGGAATTCTTGACTTAGAGCTGTACAGGGTTCTCCATTAAAAATGAGTTTTGCTTTCACCTCAGACGCTAAATACGTTGCTGCAAGAGAGACTTCAAGCATTTTCTCAATCAATAAACTAGAAGAGCTGCCTATAGTTATCTGCCATTTGAATAAGAAGGTACTTGGGAAGTTTTCTTTGGCCAAAATGCTGCATTTTTTCTTCTTATAATAGTCAGTCAAATGTTCTGGGGCTTCACAAAGATAAACTACATTGAGATCATGCAACACAACTTCTATTGCATGGGAACTTCAAATGAACTTCACTCGACTGTGCATATAATATCATTTGACTCACAACTTCTTGTGTAAGTACTGCCATTAAAATTGGAAGTGGAGATTACGTGTGTCATGAGGGTGAACCATATGCTCATTATAGAGATAATTGTTAGTTGTAATATGATTGAAGTTATAAAGCTTCTCTATTTAAGCTTTATGTTTCACTTGGTATTGATGATTATGATGCTTCATTAAAATGTAGTTGACACATTGTACCTTGTTTTGTTACGTTTTCTAACTTAGCTGCATTCTAATCCACAAATATCATCATGTTAGGATGTATGGCCAAACTTATATTAGTCAAAACAATTTCTAAGCTTTTCTAGTGCTGGGCTAAATTTTTTAAAGATTTTGTAACCTTAAAAATATCTCTTTTTGGATGAGCCTTGGCATCCTTATTTCCAAGGGGCTTATAAGCTTTTTTAGTTTGACCAACAGAATTTCAAAAATTGTCCTTTCTATCTCAATCTCCTCTTTCCCTGACCGACAATCATCACACTTTACCTGTTGAACCCTATCCTCTGTTCCCCATTCCCGCCACATTCCTGTTTCCCTCTCAACTCCCCTCCCGCAGCCTAGCAACTACCCACAAATCATCTCCATATTCCTGTTCCCCCTCCTTTTCTAGTTCTGTTGGTATATTGTCGTATGCGTTGCAACCTCTTGCTAAATTTTCTTCCATTTTTATTTTCCTGGTCAAACAGGCAAGGGGCATAGAGAGCATGACAGTGGGTTATGTAATGAAGCGTTCTCGAGAAGAAGATTTTGCCAAGGTAACTCTATGTTATAAATTAATCTCAGGCAAGATTGTGTAAGCTTGACAAATGGGTTGAGTACTGACGTTTTTCATTTAAATATGCCTGTTTAGAACACAGCTTCTGTTTTCTGACATGCTTAGCGATAGTGTGGAACTCATGAATGATATATTTGCTGCATGTTCTGTATTACGTGTCTAAATGATATCCATTTATCATTTTGTATGCAATACATAGTGGATGCCCTTGATATACTCAAATCAATCATGTCCATCAGTTTATCCAAAGTGAAATGGAGTTAGATAGTAGATACTTCTAATTTTTTATGTGGTCATTGTCTATGTCCAATGTATTCACTGTAACTACTGCATTCTGCCAAACACCATGAGTATGCCTGTCTGGTTCACTTGCATTGTCGTCCTCATTTTGCAGAGAGGTGCCTTCCCATTGTGTCCAACAGAAAATGGGTTGATATTTTTGCCCCTTAATTATGAACTGCCCATATCACTTCAGTTGCAACAAGTTGATGCAATTCTTCACAAAGCAACTGATGAGATTGTGGCTGTTGAAATGGTCAGTTCTGAAGAATTTGCTAACCAAATTACTTTCACAAGAAATATGGAGCAGTTGCAAAGGTAACTATAGAAGTCAAATTTAACTGCCAAGAAAAGGGAAGTTTTTTTTTTAGCTTTCATCATTACCTTGTGTAAAACTTCAATATGAAATCTTTGAGGTGGTCTGAATGCAACTCGTTATCTCTGTCATCGTAGTTTGATCTTTCAGGCACCCAAAGGGAAACTTTGTGGGTCTTCTGAAAGCTCGTATCATGTCTATCGATTAATTGGATAATCACTCTTTGAAGCTCACCTGGCAGGAGTTTATTGTATTGAAATTCTATCATTTTTAAGATATGCGAGTTATCTGCTTAAGGTAGATTTTTTAAGAAAAACGTGTATGTTTGTGTCCATTTGATCAAAATACTCTCTGTCCATATTGTTGGGCAGGCCACCTAAAGGCAAAAGTTTTTAGAACAGTAGGTATATTTGACTCCTCAGCTTCCATTTTCAAAATCTGAAATTTGCTCTGTACTTTCTAATAATTGTTTTCAAACAAGTTTAAATAAGTTCACTTCATTTTTTTCTCTGTTTTTTTTTTACTGACTTTGAATGGGCAATATTGGAATCTAAGTGTCAATATGTTTTTATTTTTAGAAAGTCCTTCTTCATGAGAAATTACAAAACAGTATATCATATAATATGAGGGAGGAGCTTTTAGAAATACATGTTTGTGGATGTTAGATGCAAATTATCAAAATTGTGATTGCTATGAAAAACTTTTCAACAAATATGAACAGAAGTATGAAGAAAAATGTATAATTGCTTTTGATCCCAATAAATAGTCAAGAGCTGAAAATGTTTATAAGACCAACTAAGTTTATTTTTTTCAATTATGCTTTTCAGGTATATTGAATGCCAGCCAGATTGCTGTGTAATCGATCCATTCAGTAACATTCACACTGTATTGGACCGTCTCAAAATTCAGCAGATTCTGCTTGGTTTGGAAAATCTCAACATAAAAGGCCACTGTAAAATTAGGGGGCCCCATTTTCTCAAGGTCACTTATCCTATATTATAGCTTTTTTTGTGCCAAATTGCTGAAAAGGTCCTGAATATTTAGCTTCTAATTTCTACTGCATACTACGGCATGCGTTGATTATCCTATACTATGTCACTAAGTTTGTGTATATATACTTATATAATTGTTTTGGTTTTAGTGATTTGCATTGATGCTAGAAAATGTTCATTTTCATCACTGCAAATCGGAAGTCTGCTTGGGGAAAATAAATTGCCAGTTTGGTTTCCAGTCAAATTAATGGAGGTCATTATTTTTAGGTCAGAATTCATGTTTATCTTTCTTCTGTTTCATCCAGTAGGTATGCTTGATAAAATCAATACCTCCTACTCCAAAACAATTATTTTAAGGTTGATATGAACTTCACATGAAAATAACCTTTTGTTCAATTGAATATTTTTGGATGAACTTTGCATTAAAAGAACCTTACTGTTCAATTGAATGTGTATCTGATGTAATTTCAGAATGAACATTTGCTATTTTTTTTTCTTCTACAAATTCATTTATAAAAACTATAAATCTCAGGCAGTCTATTTAGTGTTTTAATGAAAAATTCAGAGTCTCGAATGCTACATAAATGGTCTTTTTTTTATCCAACATAAAAGAAAGAAAAGATGGAAAAGTACTTTTGGAGGGTAAAAAAGAAATTAACTCTGATATTTGTGACGACTTAGTTTCCCAAGCTGTAAGCTTTTTCAGCAGTTTAAATAGAATTGAACTTCGATTTGTAGGTTGATAGCTTTAATGAGCTGGATTTAGAAAAAAGGCTAGTTGAAGCCATGCTGCCCCTTCCAAATATAGTGAAACCTCAAGTTGCTTGTGGTGTTGCTGATGCTCACAGTATGGTACGTCCGTTTTTTATTTTCCTTTTATACTCATTTAATTGTCAAATAATCTTTAATTTTACAGTCCATTTCCATCACCTAATTGTTTCTACCAATTTTATTACGTAGTGATTTCATTTCCTTGAGTCATGAGTATCTTGTAAAGGAACCGGTGCGAGCCTAGTTTTAGACTGTTCAATCTCGAGCCGATGTTGTAATGAAGAAGCCTCAGATTTTTTTTTTTGCACCTGGCTCATTTGTTTTTGAGCAAATCTTGGATGAAGATTTTGTTGGATCTCAACTTGACTGGCTCCAGCAGCTTGTTAAGTTTTACTGTATCTCATTAACCCGAACTAGCTTAAAAAGATTATGAGCTTAAAAATATATTCCATCATAACTTCTGTTGACTCCTGGATCTAAACTAAGTGATCTTTCAATTAGTCAAGCTCGGGCTAGCTTTAAAAGATAATGAGCTTGAGATTTTTTCCATCTTGGCTTGTTTTAGCTCTTCAGCCAAAGGTAAGTCGGTTTTAAATTAGTCAAGTCAGATCCTGTCCGTCTCTCGTGGTTTCATTTGGTGACAAATATGCTTCACGTGGCTTGTGGACCTACACATAGTTCAACCACTATGTGGGACTAAAGTGCAACATCTCAATGTAAAAACAAGAGATCAAGAAATTAATGTCAATTCAAATGGGAATATCAAACCGTACTAGTAGTTAAACAAGTTTCCAATGCCATGTTTCTAACAATTAAGGGTCTGTTAGGTTTGTGTTTCAGTTTTTATTTTTGAGTTCATTTTCAGTTTTCTGTTTTAAGATTATTAAAAACGTGTTTGGTTTGTCATTTTGAAATTATTTCACAAAATTAAAAACTAGAAAATATGTTTGGTTTGAAATTTCGAAATATGCCAAGAAATTTGATTATTCAATAAAAATAGAACAATATTATGTTAATATATCATCTGGTAATATATTTTAAAATTGGTGAATCTTACAATATCTTTCCTCGCTACAAAAGTAAAATAAAAACAAAAAATAAATTGAGTTCAAAATACTGGAAATAGAAATAAATTTTTTTATCCATGTTCATTTTTTTTTTAGTTTTATGTAATTAATCATTAAAATCTTGAACTATTTTTATTTTTTAGAAATTTCTATAGTATTATTTGTTTTAGGATTTTTATTTTTTAATTTTTAGAATTTTTTTTAGAGTTTTATTTTTTTAAAATTTAAAATTTTATTTGTTAAAATTTTATATTTTTATTTTTTAAGAATTTTAATTTTTAAAATTTTATTTAAACTTATTTTTCATGTTTTGACTGTTTTCAGAATTTTCATTAACAACACTCAAAACTTCAAAAATGTGTTTTGAATTTTATGTTATAAAAGTTTAACCTTGTTTTGAAAAATGTATTTTTAGAAATGCCAGACCAAACACATATTCAGTAGTTTGCAAAATTGAAGCTTGAAAAACTTATAATCAAGAGTACCCTAAATATTCTCCCTGATGTAATTCCCCTGTCCCCACCTCTGGTTAATCACAATTGCTCTTAGCATTACCCACCAATTCCCACTGCTTTGCTAGCACTTCCTAGAATATCTAATTTTTTCTTTAGGTAATGCATCGGTGTCTACAGAGTCAATTTTATAGCTAAAAGAGAAAACACGACAGCCTGAACGTGTCTATGCATCTTGCTCAATCAAAGTGGTAAAGGAGCAATATCTCTGGAGGAGAAAAATAACTAGGCAGCTATGTAATTGCAGGACATTTTAGTAGATAATCTTCTTATTTAATGTCTTTTGCTACAGAAAATGCCATTGAATTATTAATTTTAAGGTAGGACTTATCTACACCCTGTTTGGAAATGCCGAAGGCTCTTTCCCTGTTAGTCTCCTTTATATTTGCCCTTGCAGGCCATTGTTTTCAAGGTGGATGACTACAAGGACCTCGATGTTCCTCTTCCAGCTGTTGTGCAGGTGAGGGTCCACATGTATGGTGATATTGTTAATCCTAGGCTCTAGTGTTAAACATGGTGTTGATGGGTGCATTACTCAATTCTTTAGTTTTGTATTTGTCATGTTCTGTTGGTGAAAGACCTTGCAAATTGTTTCTTGCATTGTTGTTATGTGCTTTCATCTATATAAATATCAATGTGAAGGAAACTTGGTCATGCTTGAATCATAGTGAATTGTGAATTTCACACAGGATATCAGTCTGCTGTAAATGGATTTCAGGTCTTGAATGCTATTAGTCCAAAGACACAAGTGGTCACATCTGTTTAGCGTAGCTATTAAGGTTTTGATGTAGATAATTGCACTATGCTTGTGAAAGCCATCTGCAAATGCTATGTGATGGAATATTTTCAGCTGATTATTTTGACTTTATTCTCCGAAGTAAAATATGAAATTAAGTGTTGCTGCAGGAGTACGTGGATCATTCATCTCTGCTATATAAATTCTATGCCTTGGGGGAGAAAATATTTTATGCAGTTAAGAAGTCTACACCTAATGCAGATACCTTGACGAAGTTATCTGAGGAAAAGGGACTCAAACCATTACTCTTTGACAGGCATCACTTGTTTTCACTTTTCCTTGTCTTTTTTGCTGTCATATGGTAATGCTGATTAGCCATGAAGTGCTAATATGCTGACAAATGAAATCTCTGTTTTATGTTGCAGCTTAAAATCTCTACCTATTGCTAAAGAAAACCCGCAACCTGGATGTCAAGAGCACCTCAATGCCAATGATCAGCATATTGATTTAGGCCTTGTTTCTGATGCTGCAGATTGGCTTAGAAGGATGCTTGGCCTTACAATTTTTGGCTTTGATGTTGTTGTGAGTATTTGGTTATTTTGTAATGTATAATTTTTTTAGCATATAAAAACTCAAAGATATAGTCTGCCTGCTTTAGCTTTTGCAGATAGTTTATCCAAAACAATAGAAAAATTAAAGACATGACATAATATTCTGGGATACAAAGATGTGAGAAAATACAAGGAATGAGAATTTCATTAGAGAGGAGGGAGTGGGATCTCTTATTATGCAATCTCTTCATTGAAGTTGGCCATCTTACGTAGTGATTTATGGCATGTGGATAAGTTGAGATGTAATCCCCTACTGAATGAACTCTTAAATAGTGAAAGAGTAGGAAAATCATTTAGTATTCGTTTGGGAAGAATTTATAAATGGTTTAATTTAAAAACTAATAGAAATGATTGGTGAGATAAATGGATAGTACTTGTGGGTCTATTGGAATGTGTATTGAAAATAAAGTTTGACCATTTATAATTTATCTATGAATTAGCCAAATGGACAACTAGAACATAGAAATGGTGTAAAGTAGTATCTTGATTGAATGCATACTGTAGCAATTAGAAAATTTCAGCTTCTGGGAACATTAACACTGTTTTGACCTCCCAGCTTTGTTCAGTAAAAACTATAACTAATACAATCTGAAAATTCTTGAACCATCTTTTGGAAACTGTAACAGTAGATCATGTGTTTGTTTTAATAATCAACCCTAGGACACTATAACCCGAAACCATGGTAAGAATACTTGATACCCGAGCTTTTCGAATGATATGACATATCTCACTGAATCTGTGGTCTAAACCTGCTCCAAAATTTTGTTGAAAATCTGGTGAATGAGTTCAAAAATCTTCTGGACAATAAAGTAATGATAAACTGATTTTTTTCTGCCGGTAGAATTTGAAATGCATGCTTAATACGAAATGAGATGGACGGAGATGGTAGTGTGAATACATTTTACAAAGACTTTCTTTGACATTTTGTGCATCTCTGGGTTCCAAGTTTTTCTCTTTTGTGAAATTCCAGATTCAAGAAGGCACTGGTGACCATGTGATTGTGGATGTGAATTATCTCCCTTCATTCAAGGAAGTTCCCGATGATACTGCAATACCTGCCTTTTGGGAAGCTCTAAAGGAGAAGATTGATTCAGAAAAGAGTAAACAACCTAGAAAAGCTTCTTGATCACATTGGGATTCTTCGATATAAAGGCAAGTGTTGTAAATCATAAAGCCATTTTGGCTTGTTTGGTTTGTTAATTGGATCCCACTAAATGGGATTTAGAAAAATAAATTAAAATTTTGTCAGAGTTGTCGTCCACTGGATGTTGGGGCCACGTGAACTTTGTTTGTGATTTGACTCTTGAGATAAAAATAAATAAAATCAAATGCAATTATTAAGTTTGTTAACATTTTCAGTTAGTTTGGCTAGCTTGTATTGAAATACTATTATGTATGAACACTTCAAGGCTCAAACTTGTATTGGCTTTGGGTTGATATGGCTAATGTTCAAATTGCAAATCTCAATACAGAAAATCAGAGGCATTCTACATGAACAAGAATGTTGCATGTCTTGTTAGCTAAAAACTGTACAATGATGAGCTTCAGAGCCCTTTGTAGCCCAACCTCACTCGTTCTATCATAATTATAAACTCGCTAGAAAAATTAGCCGGAGTAGAATGAGCGACAAAACTGTTATGACTGGACGGTATTTACTTGGCTTTTTTTGGCATTATATCTTTGGTTGTCGGCTGCCAGATTCAATCAGTTGTTCCATTCAATACAGTAAAACATAAAAATCTTTCCGGCCTATCTTTTCGTCTTAATTCTGCACATTGCAGTGCTAGCTTTGCAAAGTTCAAGGCCTCTTCAACTGGCCAATCTGACACGGAACGGTCAAGCATCTGTTCAAACATCCCCATCTCGATTGATCGGTCAATGTTGTGAGTCAAGCCAATCGCTGGTTTACCAGATAGTAATTGTAGAAGCACAATCCCAGACAAGTAAACGTCAGATTTCACTCCGAGCACTTCTGTGTGTTGATACTCGGGATCAATGTAGCAGAAAGTACCCGCTGCTGAGGTCTATCAGTATTTTGTTATGTCATCGGCTACATAAGAAGGGACGAGCCTAGCCAGTCCAACGTCGCCAATCTTGCTTACAAAGTTGTGATCAAGCAAAATGTTTCCTGGTTTTTTGAGGTCATGATGCACAAGTGGTTCGGGTTTCATCTGGTGAAGAGAGAGTAAGGCCGTGGCAATCTCTTCAGCTATTCGAACCGAAGTTGCCATGAGAGTGGGCGCCATGTGTTTCCCTTCCGGAAGAGGCGTTCTTCAAAGCTACCATTAGTCATGTACTCATAACTTAAACAGCCATATTCTAGGCAGGCTCCAAAGAGTAAAACCATATTGGGGTGTCTCATACAAGTCAGCACTTCAACCCACATAAGGCGTTTGAACAAATTGTCCATAATGGACTTCTAAATCTTCAGACAAATTCCTCTTGATAAGGAATCTTGAACCACCTCGTCTAAAAAACCTAGGTTGTTATGAAGGGGACATGATTATTTATTTAGTTTAGTCCTCACCACGCCCCACCACGTGCACACTGGATTCATTTTATCTCAAAGGCAACATGAACAATTTTCAAAATGGGTAGTGATGAGACTTTAACTCAGGCACTCTACTTGCTCAAGTGCTTAGGAAGAATGGTGTTGCAATTATGGAATTCAAACGCTTTCTATTTTTACTGAAAAAAGAAGTTACACATAATTATTGCTTTGCTTCGCCTTTAACTCGTGCTGAAATTGTGACCTTCCTTGAGATGACACTGCCACCGGTGTATGATCGAGATAACACTCAAAAACAGGGCCATAGCCGCCTTCTTCAATTTCTTCGATGGTGTATCGCATTTTTCCAACTGCATACATTTCTCTGTCTATGGCAACTGCAACCAGCCAATTGCCAACACCCTTTCTTGCTATTTGCATTTGAATGCCACATTTTTTCTGTCCAAATTTTAATATTCAGAGCGAATGAACAAGTCTTTGATCTCTATTTTCTGATTATTCTTGAATTCTATGTTTTCATGCGCTTCAAGGCATATCATAATTCTTGTTTATTAATCAACGGGTACTAGAATGTTTTTTCTTGAATTTTATGTTTTACTCTTATTTTCATTCGAACATTCGAAAAGGTAAACAACCTAATAATCCACAATTTTTTCCCTCTTTTCTAGTATAAATTCATATAGATATATTTAGGGATGTAACTTGGATCGTGCCAGATTAGACACGATCGTCGTTAAATGTGTGCAGTCGACAAGAATAGTCATTGACATGCTTAGGAGCTGATTTTTAAGACTAGTAATATTCTAACAATCAAATTATTCAATAATGATTTATTTAATTAATAAATTATAGAATCGATAATTTATTATTAATAAATCAAAACATTTATTGAATAAGGTCATTCGAGGAATTTAGCTTTATTTGCGAACAAATATTGTTGGAGTAATGCTATTCATCCCCACCGGAGATAAAAAAACACAATTTATGTGGCGTTAATGTGGCATAAAGCCACCTATACTGTGTTTTCATCCCCACTGAGGATGAATAACATTACTCATATTGTTGAATGCTTTTAATGTGAAATAATTAGAAAGCTTGGAGTGTTCACAATGAATACATGAGAGAGTTTAGTTGGTTGTTGCAACTACCTCTCCTCCAACATCAATGCACAATTTGTCCATGTCCCCTCCATTGGCACCCACAATAAAACAATGAAATGTCCTCTTGTGCTTATTCATAGAAAATGTAACCTCCCAACACTATTATATTAATGCTAAATCAACAAGGTTTTATGTGTCGTGTGACTTACCCTTTAAATTATCGTATAGAACTTAATTCTTGTTGCATCTTTTATCTCGGACTTTGTTTCTCTTTCTATAGGACTTGTTACTCTAATTATATCCCCTTGTGATGCACTTGAGTTGGTTTGGCTTCTTCCCTAACCCTTGTTGCTAATGATTATAGGTAAATCACACTAAAGCAGAAAAGAAAATCTCTCTTCGCTGTTGTATTTGATGATTAAAAATGCACTTGACTCTCAGATCCCACCTTTTTAGGATTGAAATCGGTAAATAATTCTTAATAAAAACTATAAAAGTATATTTTCCCTTTCGTATTTTCCTCAGTTATTACCTTTCCCTCATTCTACTCTCCCCCTTTGTAACCAACAATGGGTAGTCAGCGATGGGGGTAGGGTAGGCCGCACGAAGGGAATGAGGATGGGAGTCATGGGACGAAATGGGAAAGGAAAAAAATAACACGGTAAACACGCCATAGACTCCTCGCCCCCATTTCTTGACAAATGAACCCCATGCTCGTGTCACTCCTATACCACACCCATATCTCCATCCACCTCTACCTATTATTTTTTCCTTCCCATGACTCCCCTTTCCCTTCGTGTTTTCCTTCGTTGTTACCTTTCCCTCATTCTACTCTTCCCCTTCCTAACCAATGATGGACATTCAGCAATGGGAGTTGAGTAGGCCGCACGAAGGGAATGAGGATGGGAGTCATGAGACGGAATGGGGAAGGAGGATTTTCCGTCAAAATTTTCCTTTTTCTAAAGCTACATTTAATTGAAAATATACTATACTAGTTTTTAAATATAAAATTGAACTTTTAACGTTGAACAAGATGAACATCAATGATCACATTCTTACAAATTGTTTAACAAGATGGTATTAAAATGCACGAGCGTGTGACCTAGTATTAAAGAAGAGAAATAAATTATATCATATATGTTGAGTCGTCTTAAATATGTCCAGAATGACTATAATACTTAGTACATTCATAAGTTGATCAATTCGACTTTAAAATTTTTAACTTGACATTTTACTTGGAACTAACGATTCAATTAAATTCAATATTTTTAACTTAACCTTCTACTTTTCTTCTGTGTGTTAAATCGCAAAAATTAACTAGGAATAAACACGATTCGATTTAAATTTTTTTTATTTTTTTCCCTAATTTTCCAGTCAGAGAGTCCCTCGAGCACTATTTTGTTCCTCTTTCCAAGAAAAAATGTTTTCCTTAAAAACAAAGAAAATTAGACATAATGTCAAAAGTTGAAAAATATTACAATCAAACACTTCAAAATAGAAATTTGGATGAAAACTAATTTTTTTAATGGAAAATAAACACAATCAAACTCAACATAAATGATCCAACCAACCGCTCCGTGTCCCACCCTCTCTCTTCTCTTATTTACCCACCCACGCTACCCCTCCAAACTCCAACAATGGATCACAAGCACCCTATAGCAGAAGCCAACGAGACGAGCCCATTTGGCTCACTGAGTCCCGAACAATTCTACACTCGCCACTCAGTCAGCCACGCCTCTGAATACATCACCAGCAAGCAGGGCCTCAAGCTCTTCACTCAATGGTGGACACCAAACCAAGCCCCCATCAAGGGTATTGTATGCGTGGTTCATGGTTACACGGGAGAGTCCAGCTGGTTCGTTCAGTTGACTTCCGTTCATATCGCCAAGCACGGATTTGCTGTTTGCGCTATAGACCATATGGGCCATGGCTATTCCGAGGGACTAGCTGCCCATTTGCCCGATATGAATCTTGTGGTAGATGAATGTATTTTATTTTTCGATAAATTTCGTGCGGGTTATGCCCCAAATCTGCCGGCTTTTATGTATGCAGAGTCGTTGGGTGGGGCAATTGCGTTGCTGATTACGCTTCGCCGTGGTGGGGTTGTGCCGGTGAGGCCATTCGACGGCGTCGTATTGAATGGGGCTATGTGTGGTATAAGTGATAAGTTCAAGCCTCCATGGCCGCTTGAGCATTTCCTTTCCATAGCGGCTGCTTTGATACCCACTTGGTGCGTGGTTCCCACTCGCGGCTCCATACCTCAGGTTTCCTTCAAGGTAACATTTTTTCCTTATCCTCTGTTTCCTTCCCAAAAAAAATCGGATATTTAGTAAATTTTAATAAAAATT